GTGACGACGGGTACGAGACTGCGGCGGCAACGTCAAACTTTCCGAACTTGAAATTACCATTATTATTATTACCTATTATTATTGTTATTAATGTTATTATTATTATGTATAATATAATATGTATTATATATGTACATATATACGAGAGTACGGCACGAGCTGTATAATATTATACAGTTTCCGACCTGTCGTTTTGTTGTTTTTTTTTTTTTTTTCAAACACCACGTACACACAATAAACACAATAATAATACTTACTTTGCACACACACACATACACTCCCGTTTGTGTAAGTAGGACGACAGCGGCGGCGTCGTCGAGCTTTGTAGTGTAAATCAACGAAGGTCGCTCGCGTCTCGCGTCGGCGGCGTGGTCTTTTCGCCCGTTTGTGTTTATGCTAATTATTGTCTCTGCCGCCGCCGCCCGCCTCTACAATATAGACGAACGAGAAATAAACAGTCGCTGCACTATCCGGCGGCTAAAAACTGTGGTACAACTATACGTAACAACTAACATGGCATTATATTGTACGTATACCTGCAGTGCTGTACAGGGTGATACTTTCGAGACGAACCGCTCTTTATTGTTGTCCAATTACGGAACGATATTGTTATTATAGGTATTATTAGGTAGGTACATTTTTTATCGTAGGCGTCACGTGATATTTTCGTGAATTTTCTGATTTTCGCGTGTATATGTATAACGTGTACAAAATAATTTGAAAAAAACCCACTATAATTTATATAAATAAAACAATAATAAATTAAGTTCAAGTATTATTCTGATATAATAATTTTTATTGATTTTTATCGTGAAAATACATCTAACGTGGTGGATTTTTTAGATGTTAATGTCAATGTATTTTTGTTTTTAATCTCTGTCAAATGAACTGCAACTTTTGTTGGAAAACGTTTCTATTATTAAATCTTGACAAATGAGTAATGACCGAGGGCGAATTGGCCCATTATAATAACAGATTTAATGACTTGATAATATTCTAGGAATTTAAAATACAGTGCATAAAATAACATACAAATGTGATATACATAATGCATAAATAAGCTTATAGCTTATCGGCTCGTGTGATTTTATCTATCATAATAATCGATAATATAATAGTACGAGACACGAGTATTATGAAGTGATCTGCAAGGTGTATTCTCGATAAGCTATTTTATATTTCGTTCAAAAAATGTATATGCGATGTATGAAATAAATATATTATATAGATGTAAACAGGTGAATAGCCTGTTTATGGGTTTATTTATAAATTATTAATTTTATTTTTTATGTGATAGTAACAAGAAAACCGCACACAGAGCGCTGATATTATAAACAAAAACAATATTGCAATATAACGTAGTCCCACGATTTGTTTTATTTGTTTGCGTCAAATGAGACTAAAATATTATAGACTATAGTTAATTTATGTAAAAAACTTAAAAATGTGAAAAAGAAATAAAACCTTAAGAGTTAACTTCAGTATAAATAGTATATTAAAATGAGTACATCTATAAACGCATGTTATACGTGTAATATGTATATTTATATCTTTAATAAATGTTGAAAATATTTTTAAATAATAAAGGCTTTTCTCATCATCATTATTCATTATATTTGTAATATACTTATGAGTTTATCACCAAATTATTTGTCCTCTGTTAATTTTCTGTTGGAAATATTGACCCATTCCGCCCCTAGTATAATGACGCACTACAACATTTTTTCAAAGTACATATCCGAGTACTATCACCATTAAATACATGATTTATGAAGTCGACTTTTGCCCGAGACAATAGTTTGTCTGGAAAAGATTTTTTTTAATCAAGTCAAAATAATTATTTCTTTAATTAGTACAACTGAAGAGTATTATACATTTATCTAACACCAAACTGATTCACTCCAAACCTATAACTTATAAGTTAATTAACAATGATTTCTTTATTAATTTGAATACAAATAATGACGTTTTATTTGTTCTTTTCTATTTTTCAGCACCATTATAAGATTTTAACTTTGTAAAATTCTGATTCATATTTTTATTTTTGAATATAATTTTAATTAGAGTAATAAATACACAACGAAACTTAAATTTACAACTTGCCAAGTCTTGAATATCAAATAATAAAATTATTAACAATATTTATTTTTAATGGATAAAAATAATAATGTGATATAATACAGTTCAATATAATAGATATTATATTCAATGTAATATTTATTCTAATCGATAGGTGATACCAAAATGAAGCATGCTCATGTAAACATAATATATATAATATTATAGTAACAATATATCAACATGACACGATCACGGTTATAATCTTATTATTCGTTGATAGATTGCGTGTAGGTATAGATAATATATTTTCAAATTCAATAAAAAAAAATAAAAAAAAAAAAACACTTAACATAATAACTCAATAAGCTTCGGTACTTACAACTTACCCGTATTCTTCTGCCCCCCCTCCTCCTCAATCATTTATATCTACCTCGCGGCGTACACGCCAAACCATAGCGACAACACGTCTTGTCTTCTTCGAAAACACAAACATCTACTTGGCATGTATTATCATTACAGCCATACAAACCGATCACGTCGTAGCACGCATATCATATTATACTTATAATATACTAACTGTCATCCACACAAAAGCCGCACGAGCTATACGCTCGACTATGTACACGTTTTGTCTGTCCGCGTGCTCTGAATCGTTGATTGATACGATATCTATGCGCACGCGCAGACAGCATCGCGCACACGACCTGTCTATAATAATAATATTATTAATATTATCATTATTATTATTATTATTATTATTATTATTATTGCATTTCAATGCAATAATGTCGTACACACGTTATTGGCGGGCACTATTCCGGCTGCAGACTTCTCGTCGTCGTCTTCGTCGAGACTGTCGTGCGATAGACGCAATGAAATATTACGTAACATGATACTGTGTGTAGGCGTACGGTGACCTTGCTCTCGTCCGAATATACGACAATTTATTTCGCGTAGTGTGACGTCGCCGATTCGTAAAGGTATAATAATATAATAATAATATATGATGTCGAAGACGCGCGCGGACCGCCATTCGAGCACAACCGTGACGGCGACGGCGGTATGAAAACGATATTATGACCACTGCAGTACCTATACGTCATAATAATATTACTATTGTGCCCGATGCAACTGTAACGTTTAATATGTACCCTGGTATATCGGAACCGGAATCCACTGGTAACCTCGCGGGAACCTTTATTTTCTCCGGGGCCGACACATAATATACGTATACCTACGTAATAGTGCTCGTTTAAATTCCTATAAATTCAAATCATATTAATATTGTATTCTACCGTTGTAAGCCGTTAAAAAAAAACCAGACAAATACGTGTACATCGTACGCTGATAACTATATAGTATATATATGATAAACAATAATTCCATGCGACTTATAGCTCGGTAAATCTTAACCTACTTCAAGTGACATCTCTAGAAATTAAAAACACGACTTATTCGCGTAATTTAAAAATGTCTTTTTTCTAATCATGTCATGCTCATGCTTCGTCCATATATTATTTTAAGTATTGTCGATCGTAAATAATCAGTGACGGCCACCGCGAGGGAGTCGTAAATGACTGCAGGGTAGAATCTATCTGTTATGGCACGTATAATATAACACGACATGACTGTCATTTTAATATTTAAAAACTAACTTTAAGTAAGTATCAATTAACATGTTATAATTACTAGATAATTAATAATAGGCTTTTAATTTTAACGCACACAATAAAAACTGTTAATCTCTAATGACGCCACATACTGACATCTCAAACGATTTAAAATAAGCAATATAACTAAATCAAATCTAAACCTTATAGTTTATATGTCATAATATTTAAAGTATCACACAATAATAAAATTGGTCTTATGTCGTAACTATACTACAATTTTTAGTTTTAACGTAAAATCGCGAAATAAAATTAATTAAAAAATCAATAGCAGCTGTGGCAAAGTTAACCAAAATTACCCTGTAAAAAGGACTTGGCAATAGTGACTAATGTAATATTTTTATTCTTTTTTTCTATATCACTTTTACGAAAACATTCTTAAATTTAAAAATATTAAAATAATAAATTAATCAATATTTATTATATATATTAAATATATGAACTGTTGAGGTCAAGTCATGGGAAAAAATTTCGTTTATTAGATTCACGGTTTACAGTAAATGTTAAAAATACTCAGCAAAAACAAATTATTATCTTTGTCTAGATAATAAAATAAAATAGTTTATCAATTACACAGTTAGCTATAACCATTTTAGTTTTATTCATTAGTCATTACACAATTGGGAAATAACGTATGCGATAAGCACTTGTACTGATAAAAATTAAAAAGTATTTTTCTAATGCATTATGAAATTATAATTAAAACTAAATTAGTAAAAACCAAGTAGTAAGATATAAGTACACAATGAATCGATTAGTAACTCGTACTATTCGAGAGAAAAATATTACTACATATTATTATATTCCATGTTTTTTTTCCGTTTATCAATCTGATCGGCAGTAAATGAACTTTAAATTATACCTAAATCTATAATAATCTATATATTCTATATAATAGTATGTAGTATACTACTTTTTTTATCTTTAAATTTCGACAACTATAAAGTCATTACCCGTGTGTTATACAGCAAAAAAAAAAAACCAAGGAAGTATTTTATCTATCGCGGAGTAAACACATTCATTAAATATATTTACCAACAAATACGCCCGATTAAGTATAAAATTTTATACAATACATTTAATGATATTATTATTATATAATTTAATTTAATTCATTTTGATATACAATTCAATTCGACGGTACAAAGTATAAATTATAGCAATTATAGTAGAGCTTTAATAGCCCGGACGAATTCAGACTATGCATCGTCCGAATTATCGATTCGTCTGGACTACCGAAGAGTTTTCAAGATTACCTACCTATACTCAAATTAATAAGATTTTTATTTTTAATTCCACCATCTTTGTGTTTATTGCACTTCAAATTACAAAAATAATAAATAACTAACATAATTAATTACAAAAAAAAAAAAATGTTTATAATAATAGAACTTAAGTATAATATTCAGTAATTTTTTTATGAAGAATTCCGAACAAATTACAAATGTATTTACGAATAAATTGACTAATACCGTCCGAATTATCACGTTCACTGAATTATCGGGAGTTCGGAATATCGAGGCTGTACTGTATAACTAAAATAATTTTTATTATGGGAACAACAACACAAAATCATGAAGTTGAAATCAGTGCACAAGTCCTTCATTAATTTTGGGCATTCTAAATTTTTTTTACAAAGTACCGGTATGTGATCATCTAAAATAGAAAAAAAAACACGACAAAATTATTAAATAGATCATCGTTAAAATATGACATTCATACATATAATTACAAAATATTACGTAGACAACGTTTAAACACGTACATACTCAAATTCAATAAGTACACTCTTTATGAATCGTTTGGTTTTCAAATCGTCTAAAATACCGAATTTTTAACTAGTTATTTAATTATGTTCGATGTAATAAAAAATATTTATTTTTTTTAAGTGCAGGTTTTCTTTGTTATGGTGTTTACGATTGAATTATTTTATGAACATTTTTCGTAAAAATAACCTTATTATATTGTCATCACACTTTAATTTTATATATTAATCGAAAACATAGTTTACTGCCCGGCACACAACAGTACGCCGCAATTCAAACAACGCGGTTGTATCTTGTGTCGTTTGAACAGCACACTACGCGGCTCGTTGGGTGCACAAGAGATTTGTCCCAACTTAATATCCGATCTTACTACACAAGGTGTTCCGGGTTAGGTTGATTTGTAGATCGATTTTTCATTTATATAATGTATTAAATACATAAATATCGGAAAGAATAAAAAACTTTGTGTGTAAGACTAAAGCAGTGTTTCTTAATCTGTGATCACTTAAGGGTTCCGCGAAAGTGTTTTTATTAAAATAATAAACTTTACTGATGGGAAAAACCGTTAGACGTGCACATATTACATAAAATTTTATATTTAATATCATAGGGATTACGCATAAAAAAAATATTATTGTTGTATGTGTATGATATCGAAAAAGTTAAGAAACACTGAACTATATAGGACATGTTACTTTTTTCCCAAAGTTTTAAGCATTATCATGTTTTTCATTTTTTTATTTACCTCCAAAATAGTTGGGACATCCACAACACGTCCCGTATATTACTGCCGAATCATCATGACAATTCCAGTTCGGACACGTTCTATTCGAACAGTAACTCCCTGAAAACATATTAAATACGGTACGTAATTAGGTATGTAAGTCTTTGTAACTTTGTAACTATAAAAGATACACGCCACACTAAGCCGTGATCCGTTTAATAATACAATAATTATTTATAACAATAATAACGTAATATATTAAAAACTGATTTTCTAAACAAACCACAATAATCGTTCCTATTTATTTATACATATTATAATACGTATACTAAAAGAATATGCACAGAAATATTACTGATCGTAATTACATTTTTTTAATAATGAATATTGTACATTTTCAAATCTTTAAATGCAAATAATGCATTTCCACATTTCAGTGTAGGTACCAAAAATACATTTCAATAAATAATTATAAAATCATACTCATCCATTTCAAATCTCTCATCAATAACATTATTGCTGGACACTTTTCTAAAAATTAGCAAATCAAAAATATACCTCAGTCACCAATAGGTATTACTGTATTAGTGTATTACTATTCGGTAAGTATAATAGTGTTCTATTGTTATTGGTTGTCCCACTGTGCAATAGAATATTTCTACGATGTTTTTACAGTACAAATTTATAACTTGTAATATTACATCTCAAGTTACATTTGTGTAATTGCAATGTGTATGAAACTGCTTATGTTCCGAAAAAGTAACTTGAAGTTGTAATATGAATACAATACTTTATCCCAATATTCCAAGCACGTCACAAATAACATGCAGTGATTGTTACCAAAAAACATTCAATGAACGTTATCAAATAATTTTAAGCTTTTTCAATTGTATTGTAAATATAATTTTCAACAACTTTTCCCCCGATTCTTAACCAATATTCAAGTTAATTTTTAATCGTGACGAGTTATAAGTTAGCAACGTATCTTTAAACTTAACTTACATTTTTCTACGTATTTTAGCTTAAGAATAAAAAATAAAAAAATCGTGAAATTGGCAATTCTTGCATATTTTTTTATTATAAAAATATAATATAATATTATATTACACGATCGTGTTACCTTTGTATACATCATCCATATATAAAATACACCGATTGTCCCGTTGCATGGCTCTGCCAGTGGCGTTGGATGCGATAGACCACGTGAGGTCAAGCGATCTTGACGGGTGGATGACGACGAAGACAAAAGCAAACGCGGAAAAAGCACGAAGAACCAACCCGTCGGACTTCATGATGGAAAATGAACGGATTTCTTGCCGATGGCGGAGTTTTTTATATTACTTATCTGTACACCGCGGTCTGCAACTCGTCGTTCGCCCCGTCCACCAGCTGTTACGCGTCTCCGTCATTGCATATTATACGACAATAATAATATTGTTACAACGACGATTTGACTGATGAAAATTTAAGGATTCCGATAAGAGGTAATAATGAAGTTTTATTTTGCGAGTCGACGGTAGAATAAGTCGCGATGAGGACGATTGATTCGCGGCAAATAACTCCAGTAGAATGACCGCACGTAGTCCTGCAATATTTAAAAAATTATATTAATTAACGATCGCATAAAAATAAGAGATTACGTACATTTTCTTGTTAAATTTCTTCGACAGAATTATAGTTCTGTTGACGATGACAATAATAAAACGCACAGTCAGTATATAGAATTATAGACTGAAGAAATAGACTGCAGGAATTAAGAACGATGGTCAACGATAATTACTATACTAATTTCCCAACACGAAGCTCAGTTCAATATTTTCAACAGAGGACATATTTGAATTGATAAAAATAATTTTTGCTGAGGAGGAGTGGATACGCGAATGTCGGACGTATCGTAAGTAAATACTACTTAGCAATATGCTATAACTGCGTACTAAATATTTAAAATTTAAAGTATTTCGTATTTCGCGGTAGAAAATTCGGAGTAGAAGACACGTGTTTATGGCCTCCCATTTAATTGTTGGTTTACATGTCTAGACCGAAAGCTTGCGCAACATACACGCTAAATATTTATTATTTACTTTTAAAAAAAAAAAGTTTTATGTGTTGGTCCGGTAAGGACACGTATGTATTCCAAATTTCAAACTGCCTATCGCAATACAGTAGTTTACTTTATGAAAATAAATACAATTGTATATTTTATAATATTATAGTAATAATTATGCGCATAACAAATTAATTACACAATACACGAAATTGTTGATTTAAATAAAATATCAATAAACAAAATAATAATGTATCTATTTTTCATTTTGATTCCCAATTTTAGTCATTTTAAGTTAAACGTCTTGAAAATTGTACCATTTCCCAACCAAATCAGACATTGTGAATAATTAATAACTATAGTTATTATTAAAAATAACTTTTGGCTAACATTGATAGTATTATAATAATATATATATATATACAATTTCGTAACTTCTATACGCACGAACCGACTTGTTAGTTATTTTAAAATTGTATTAAACATACATAACATTTAAAATTTAATTTTTTCATAAAATAAATTTGCCAATATCAATAAGCTCCATAAATATAATTTTCTTGCTAAAAATAATATTTCACGCGAATAATATTGCACATGTTTATAATATTATATCGTCTTAGTAATAAGCCTCAACTTATTCTAGCAACTGATAATGCTATCGATACTTTATATTTGTATGCTTAATTTTTATTATAAATGTATCATAACATAACAAAATATGAAATTGTAATGCTGGGTATATGTAACACTTTATTAGCACAAAAAAAAAAAAAAATGTTTTAGTAAATTATATTAGATTTTCGAACCATAAATTCTATTACTCAGACATTTATCAACCTAGAAAATTTTTACAACGACGTAAATTCATAAAAAATAATTTGTGAATAAAATGGATGGTTTCTTTCTAAAAAAAGTTAAGATACGTATGCGGAAAACTTGAGAAATATAACAATAAAAAGCCAAAAGCACATATGAAGTGTATTCTTTAGCTTTTTAATAAAATAAAATGGATCATGATTGTGATTGAACAACTATTTGTGTTAAAATATTGAGTGATTCTAATGAATTATCATTTATCACAAACATGCCTATTATTATATATAGTTCACAGGTATGTCTATATTGTCCACCAAACATATTGTGAAACGTTCAAAATGTTTGATAAATACAAATATTTAACTTATTTAAGAATACTAATTAAGCTACGACTTTCGTATGGAATTTAAAATATATCATTAATACATTAGAGGTATATATAGTATATATAGTATATAGTATCTTACAAACATAATAATATTATGACGCATGAAAATTTTTTTTTATCAATCAAAGTTAAAAATGTATACAAATTTATCGTTCATATCTCAACGTATTTTTTTTACTTAACATCAAAAGTTATATTTATTAATGACACATACAATGTCTTGTATAATCAAACGAAATTTAATAAAAAAAAAAAAAAGCGTATGTCTATTAATTATATCATTTAATTTGATTAATTCAACTATTTATATGCGTCATTTGGTGATTATTATATTTTACAAATATTAGTACTTCTGTTTATTACCGTCAATTGAAAAGAATAATTCCCATTATTGTGTCACCATGCGAATATATATTTAATGTCACAATATTTTGTTTTATAATTTGTAAAAAATATTTGATGCCTGGCGGCGTCTTGGAAGTAATACGCAAGCGGTCCCCACGGCACCGTCGATTAAAACTAGAAAAAAAAAAGATTAGATACCTTAAATCTTAAATTAGTTAAAACAACAATTTAATATATCATTGTTTATTATGAAATATGAAAATGGGTAAAATAACATAAAAAGTAGTGATATTTAGCGTTACACAAAATCGGTTAAAGTCAGAAAATCAAAATATTATCTGTATCTAGTCCATATATATATTATGTTAAAAGTTGAATTAATCCGACTTTAGAATATAGCAGTTCCACAAATCAATTAAAAACGTCAAATTTCATATAGTTGCGTTCTATACATAAATTTTAATTATAAATAAGTAGGTAGTTAGTGGGTAGATAGATTACAGTGAATATTTTACATAATTCACCATGACAAATTTTTCTGACGAATAATATAATATCATTCATAAATGTATTTATATATAGATAAAAGTTATCAAACTATTGGAGACTTCAGAAGAAACACAACTAAAATACCAAAAAATGACTAAACAACAATTAAAAGATAGAAATAATCAAAAGAAAAATTCGGTTCAATCGCTGAGGAACAAATATTTCACTGTGCCGACATACGACGCGAGCTGTATTATGTAGGTGCAACAGCACCAATCATTGACAGAAGAAACACCAATATTTTGCATAGCAAAATTCAATAAAAAATTAAATATTAAATAAACACATTTATATATTTACCCTTAATATTGAAATTAAGCATATCTTATAAGATGACTATAGTACGCAATAATAATTTTAATAAAAAAATGATCAATAACAGTATGTTTGTACATTTTTTTTTTTTTAATGTATTTATTTGATGCGCACAATTGATGTATTAATACATATACGTATTAAAATAAACACATTTAACATAAATTTTTTATATTTTAGTTTACGTACAATGATAAATAATCTGTGATGGTTCCTAGTTAAATTAAACTAAAAATATCATTACAGTTACAATGCATTATCATTTTACCTATACATTTTAGTTAATCAATATTATATAATATCTAGTACGATTTGATTTTGTTTTAGAAGAATAAGTTTTTCAAATAGTTCGTCGCAGATGTCGTTACGTTTGACTGTCGTTCTGGACATTCCGGTAGAAAACAGTCTTTTAACGTGAGTACTCGATGGCATTGGCGTATTGTACTCAAAAAAAACTTTCATGACATTCGGGTAATACGGTAACATACTGATGTCATTAGATGGACTATTCAGATACATTTGCAACTCATCTTCAGAGGAACTTTTTGGTTTTTTATTTGACGGAAGACAAAAAAAATCTTGGGTTATATTAAATTCGCTGTCAGTAGTATCTGCGCCTGATATTTCATTTTTAGCGTTGGCTGTACCATCGAACAAAGCTTTCAAATTTGCCTCGGCTAAATACTGATCATATCTATTTAGCCAAATAAGTTTGAATTTTGGAATCAAACATGACGCTAATATTAATTCGTTTTTCTTCCAAATGGATTCGAATCTTTTTTTAATAGACTCTATGATTGTCTGTAGAAGTGGTTCGCAGTAAATCAACTTTCCGTTTTCAAATTTCCTCAATTTTTTTTCCAATGCATAAAGACTTGGTAGTAAGTAGCCCATGTACACACATTCTTCACTTTGTAAAAAGTCTAACGTATCAGCTAAAGGAGACATCACATCACAATATTCATTTATGAGCTGAATTTCTTGTGGCGTAAACCGTTGTATTTCACAGCAGTCCAGTACCTGATTTATTTTGTCTAACCCATTAGGCTCGTTTAGTACATTTTTCATTTGTAATAAAACGTCATATGTGCGTTTCCACCTAGTTGTATTTGATGTTTTAAAATTAATTCTCGAAGTTTTCCAAATTTTTTCGACAGCTGGATGGGATATGTTTTGCTTAAGCCAAATCGATGAGCATTTTTCAAGTATTTTACTATACAAATGTTTGAAACTGGTATTAGAATTTATCGTTTTATCGATATCAGAATTTGCGATAAGGTTCAATGTATGACTAACACATCTATAGTGAAGAGGTAGTTGAATAAATATATCGGCCTCTTGCTTAATAGTAAATGTAGAATTTAATATGTCAAATAAGTCAACAAATTTATTTTCATTATCCAAGACTGTGATATCATTATCTAAATTGATAATAGAATTCGTACCATATAGCTCAATAAAATTTGAACCATTATCAGTGGTTGTTGAAACAATTTTATTTTGAATTTTATACATAGTGTAAATTTTATGCAATGCCTTGACAATAACATCATAAGTATGATGACCTTCAAGACAACAGCACGCTAATGACACCGATTCTCTTTTGAAATTTTTAGAATTTATCCAGTGGCAAGTGACAGCAAGATAGCTATTTTTTCCATTTGTCCAACAATCAGCTGTTGTGGATACATACATAACTGATGATAATGTATTTGTTATATTATCTACCATGGACAAATAAAGTTTTTCAATTTTTAATTTTAAAGTTTTACTGGACATGATTTTTAAATCTTGTGGTAAACCTAATTTAATCAGATTTGAAAATGATGGATTATCAACGACACTTAATGGCTGTATATCATTTATAATAAATTTTAACAGCAAATAGTCTAATTTGTGTTGGGTAACATCTCTCTCCGACATACAACGTTCAACAGTCAAATTTAGCAAGGGACTTTCGTTTTGGTTAGTATCTAAACTAAAACATCGTTTTTTCTTAGTTGCATTTTGTTTTTGTTCATTTAGATCATTTTCGAAGTCATTGTTTTTACATTCATGAACCTTCTGAAACAAAATATTAAATAAAAACAATATTATTATGCTATTTATAATTCATTAATTCATAAATACTTGACTAATTATAATAATTATATTTCAAATATAATCTAAGTACAAATCTAATAATTATCTATTATAAAATCATGGAAATGTTCAATAAACCATAGTCATAATGAGTTCCAGTGGTAAAAACCAAAAATATGCATATTTTTTTATAGAATCATAGAAACTATTTCATAACACATTACCTGTGTAATGTGTTGTAGAATACATCTTATAATTTACTTATTATAAAAGCACATATTAGTAATCACTATATTTCTATAGTAAAAATTTAGTGGAAAATTAATCTTAAGATAAATTTTATTTTGAAAAAAAAATATATATATAAATATTATAATAAACTATATATGCATTAAATATAATACGTATTTCAAAATATTGTATTGTTATTTGGTTATTAACGTTTTTAAAATTCGTCATCTTAATATAAATTAGTACTAATATTAGTATATAATAATAAAGTTAACAATAACTTATAATGATCTAACATAAATACAACATTAATAGTGTTGTTAGAATTAAAATAATTAATAACAATTAAATTAAGTTAAAACGTCACGCGAAGTCAACATATTGAAGTTGGGTCACTGAGTCTGTAAAATTGCGCACTACTAGCAGCATTAATGAAAAATTCAAAAATAATAAAATGTATATTATAACATTGTTAACTAATAATTTAAAATAAAATACTAAGTTTCTATATCCCATATTCACATATTAAATAAAATTTTACATTTGTTTATTAAATGCATTTATTTTATTTTATTTGAAAATTGTAATTTTACGTTATCGAAGCAATCACATTAGTTTCACTAACGTTTAATTTATTTAAATTAATTAAATAATATATATATGTTGATAATTAAATAAAATGTATTACTATTTATTTGCGCAAGGCGCATTATCGTAGTTTGTAAGTACTTATATTGTAGCACTTACTGATACATAGTATAATATATGAATATAATATAATAATGAGAAACTAATTCACAAAATATAAAGAAAAATGTATTTTTGTAGTGTACGTCAGGGATGTATATCAAAGATCGATCTATCTGTATATATTATGTACTAATGTATCATTTAAACTATTAAACTCTATTTGAACCCAATTACGCCTTATAGTTAAATTATCATTTAATTAAATGTTTTTCCCAGGTTAGATTCTTCCTTTTTGGCAGATGCCTACATTATAATAGCTTTACGCCAAATTTCAGGACGGACGGTTTAGTGGTTTGAGCTATGCGATGATGGGTCAATCAGTCAACCACATTTTTCTTTTATATATATTTATATGGTGGCTAAAGATAATTATATACAATATAACTTCCATAAAACAGTCACCGAAGGGTCCGTAAATTATGGCCGCTATTTAGAGTTGCCTGTCTTACAGAGATGACCGGTAACAGAAGTCGAATACCTTCCAGATGACCGCAATACAAAGATTATGCAAATTTTAAGAATAAAATATCAAATAAATAACGCATATGAATATGGGTACTAAAAAAGGTATTTTTGATTTATAAAATAATGTAGGTACAGTTTAAAATTCAAAAAAACTCATAAAAGTTTTTATAAATATTAAAATTGAAAAAATTGAGTTAAATTAGTTTGATTTAGATTCATTTTATTATTTGAACAATTTTTTTCAAAATAAATTTCTGCCATTCTTAACAGATTATAACAGACTGAGTTCTTTTTATTCCAAATGTATTTGCAAAGGTACGTGCACTCATATTTTCTTTTTAGTAAAAATCTAACAATTTCGTTTTTTCCGCTAAAGTTAGATGTTTTTGTTTAGATGCCATAGAAACTATAGGTGCGTATTTCGAAATGTTTTCAATATACACTGAACATTAATGATAAAATACACAGTCACATACTCACATACAAGTGGTAATTGCGTTACCGATATCATAATAATTTATATGCTTGTTAAGATAAACTGTTAAAAATAATTTAACATTTTTTATTTTCTATTTGACATTTCTTAAATTTTGACCGTTAATTACAGTGCTTGCTATATAAAGGTGCTAGTATATTTTCCCATAAATAAAACCAAAAATATTAACTGTTACATACAGGTGACCGTTAACGGAAATTTCACTGTATATTATAGACTTAAATAAAACAAAAATAAAAGTATTGTAATCATTTAAAATTTCTCTATGTTTTTAAATACACATATTCTTTATGTATTAAAAATACTAATTAAATTAAATTATTAGAATTAATATTCCTTAAAAAAAAAAAAAAAAATAGAATTATTTATGTGTGTGTGGTATGAGCTCTGGGAGGAGGCAGAATCTTGCCTCACTCCAAGAAGGATCTATCCTTTGGGTTTTGAGTATGTTCTAAATTCAAATACTTACTTTCATAGTTGTGTGAACAAAGTTTTTGAAATATAATTATAAAAAGTAGTTTATAAGAAATATAAAATAAGCCGTAAATCAAACATTCAGATATAAATTAGATATTCAGTTTTTATTATCATAATTTGTACATCCCGGATTGTATAAAAGGTAAAATCCTGAATAAAACTATGCTTTTTAGCTTTTGCTGATTGAACAATTATTGATTAGTAAATCTAAGCATATACTTTACTAAATGGGTTTTTTCAGTAACTTACACATTTTTAATAAATATGAATAATAGAATAATAATAATAATAATAATATGACTATTGTTAATGGTAAATTTTCTATAACATACTTTGATGTGACGTTTGAGGTTTGATGGTGAGGTCTTTGATACACTGAGTAATTTAGACGAAGGTTTGCATAATAGACATTGAACAAGAAAATTATTTCCTCTATTACCTTTACACACAAAATACTTTTCTATTCCTGGCCAGGGCATAGTCGGCATCACTACAATAAAAATTATAAATCAAATTATTAAATAATAGTTTCTCAATTTTAAATACCACTATATTAATTTATTATAAAATAAGCTTGTGAGTTGTAAGACCTAACCTAACTCTAAACAAACTACAAATGTAGCATAAAATAGGTAGCGGTAACTTTATTGGATACTAAGTACGTACATTTTTAGTCACAAAATTAAAGTTAAATAAATTATGATTAACTCAATATATTTTAATTTGTTAATATTAATTTGTATAAGGTAATATAAAACATCATAAATGTTCACTACATAATACTTACTAGGCTCAGATATATTTCTTACGTTAACATTAGCTAGTACAGGATCAATTGGATCGACAACATCAATAAAACTTGAAATAAATGCTCGATCGTTGCTCTCATAGGATTCCATTAAAATTTTTGCTTTATTTCGCTTAAATTAAAAATATATTTTATTTAATAAAATATTTATACTTTTATGGAAATTTGAAGAAGTACTACACATTTCTTCTCGTAATAAAGGATCATATAGTACGTCTTTTCGAATTCAATTTAATATTCAGCTTTTTCTTTATGTGGTTTTAAATACTTGTTCATAGCTGATTAAACATTAGCGATAAGTTAAGAGAAAATTAAATTATCAAATTCTCGACAAACTTAACATTCCGATTGTTAAACTATAACTGAATGCCCATTGTATCTTCTGATTCGGCTTAAGTTGGATTGTTCCAATTTGTCACGTGAAAATGAAATATTGATACTTGTCTTGACAGTTGACAGTGTTCAGTATCGTTATTCATTAATAGGTATAATAGAATGACGTCATTTTTATAGGCTCAGTTTTTAGACGCGTTATCCACAATTCTATAGTTCACCGACGAGTGTTAACTGTTGAGTGTTGTTGTTTATTACTATGATTAATTATCATTTATCACTAAAACAATATGATTATAATAGTATTGAGTATCAGTGTCAATAATTTTTTATACCGTAATTATTTTTCTACGATTTCAGGTTTAAGATAGAATATAATATCAACTAATTACTTCAGTATACAAAGTATACCTATTATAAATTGTACATCTATAGTGTAATAAATGTTTCCTTGTTATTTAAGTATACTTTTATGCTTGGTAGATATTCAAGCTAAATTGTACTTCTAAAGACTAGGTTTATTTATTACTATACTTATTCATGTGTTAAAGTTATTCGTATGTTACGTTTGTTAATATCAAACGGCTTTGTTAGATCAAGTTTGTTTAAATGTAATATACAGTGTAGTATAGGTATATTATAGCTTACACTAAATTTTTAGTACATGATGATTATGTTATATCAATACAATATATTTAAACTTAACTATACACATTTTAACTGAAAATACTAAGCTTTATTTGTATTATAAATGTTATTTTGTTGCAATGATCACAAATTTTCAATTCATTTCGAGGTCCGAACCTAAAAGAAAAATCGAAACTTATAAAATATTATAACTATTATCGAAAATAAATGGAAAAAAAGTAAAATATTTATTTACCGACACTGTTCAATGCAATAAAAATGTAAACAATATTTAAGACTGTCAAAACATTAATAATGGTAACGATTCTTCAGTATTTTCAGCTCGAATTTCGGCTATACCAATCCGTCGTTACGGAAAACGATCTCATTAAATTATATTTTGGTTGCGCATTTGTTAACAAAGGTTTAATGTACTTTATAATCTGCTATCAGGCAACAACTAGACGAGTTATTCAAGCTGTTTCCGAATAACGATTCTTTTATTTTGTAGTGTCGTCCGAAACGAGACATAGAAACAAAAAGCTCAGAAGTGAACAAACAAACGAGCCAACGTGCAGCCAGTATTCGTCTGGAAAATAAACACAGACATTACTATTACACATTTTTCGATAATGATATGAACACTGGAAAAACAAGCTTAAAATATTATAGTTTTGATGATATTTCCTTGATCAGCGTCGAGTTATTATACACGTACATAAAGTTTTAAGAGCGACGCAAACGCGATTGGTTAAAATTGTATATTTAATGCTTATCTAGTATACTGCTTAAAAAAAATCAATAAGCATTACCGAAATGAGAAAAAAATATAATGTCGCATAAACAAAGTCTATAAACATGTTATTCACGACCGTCATGAATCCGGTGATAAATTATTCGGGCAAGGGATATGTCAACTCGGCGCCCATCTCGTAAAAGAAAGCCTGACAGTCATAGGTACACGGGAATGCTATCAACAGCACGCATTTCAAAACAGCTGAAAACGCACGTAAAAATCGTAAACATTTAATAATCACGATCGCTATCGCGAAAATTTGTATGTCCTCGAGAGCGCATACTTGACGTGGTTTTGGTTTTGAAACCAAACATTATAATCAACCAAAATATGGAGAATGTCGATATGCAATGGCACCCCAGCATGAACCTATTTTTGTAGTCGAGGGCACGATTCGCAAACACGCTAAACTCCAAGGTCAAGATAAAATCATGTATTGTGATAAAATAACTATATTGTATGGGGAAATTCTGGGGGAAAAAATAAGTGCGTTATATACCACAAATTTAAAAAATAAAAAAATTAAACTAATATTAATTGCCGTTGGCGGTGGTCTACTGATGAGCTCCGAGTTTATAAAACATCGACGGTATCAACGACACCCAAGGAACCGACATCGTTTTTGATACCGCGTACGCCAAGATGAGATACAAGGCATCCTGATTCCTTGAAAACAGAGAATATAGAACAAATTACAATCTGCCGCGGTTATAGGACGAGGAGAGAGCGAGCGTACGTGGCGAGTGTTTTGATAGAGGTCAGAAGTTTGGCACTATGGTGCGATTCCGTCGACGGTTTGGATTCGTAGCACGACATCGAATTGAGATTACTGTGGGTTTTTGGGAAGAAGAAGTACACCGAAATCGCCATTAAACCGTTCATGATCAGACATGTAAGCACGTATTTATAACAACGTCAACGGCGTCGTATACGCTGTACGCGAAGTGCATGGACGCGAAAACAAGCGAGTATCCTTACAAGCGTACGACACTTCCATGGTGCGTATTCTCGTTATGAAGAATTTCAACAATGCGTCTATAACCACCGTTACCACATAGAAGTCGATTACCTAAATGGCCGCCGACCATAACATCTTGACGGTAATATAGAAATCTGCAAACAAGAACGAACGAACTCTATTAAGGTATATATATATATCAAAAACATTGTCGCGATCACTCGGACCCGCAAACACTAACCAGTAGCCATGTTCCTCTCGTTCTAGAGAACCACATCGCCGACTGGGTTACTATCAGAGGCGTCGTCACCACGCCGCCCACGGAGAGTATGATGTGTCGTTGTAATCGTTTTAGCCATACGCGTCACGAAGGGACGTGTTGCATATAATATTATGCATTTTGTGTTGCATCGGTTGCGCCGATTTAGCGCTCGTAAACGCTCGTACAATTGAACGCATTTTTTGAGGTAAAAAAAAAATAGTCAACTTGCCCAGACTCGCGTACTCACATCATTCTCGATACGTTTATAAGCTGCAGTACACGTCGTATACAGCACCAGAGTAATTATTCTATATAACCGTAAAAGTATCTACGTAAGATTTCACGACTACTGTAACTTTTTTCGCACCCACACGACTATATTATACACATTTTAGTATACAAACGATTCAGGATAAACATACTTACACCGTACACGAGTGCATGGTTGACATGCATTTTATGGCCGTGCCCAACGTGCCCAACGACACGAAAATAACAGGCTCTCAATCCTACGGTGTTAAAATATAAAACAATGATTACTTGTGTTGTTATTGAATAGTTATTCGTGATAACAATAATAATAACAAACATCCATACGGACAATTTATGTTTATAATATTATCATATATTTTTTTTTTTATGTAATATCACATTTCCGTACCGTATTTATTAATAGTCACACATGCTGGAAATATTAATATGACTGTAATTAAAAAATCATACTTTATGGTCTGCAAAGTATCTATTATGTTATTTGCTAGGATATATTTTCAACATATGATGTGTGTTTTTTTTCTTTTCGTCTTTCGAGTGCTACGTACACGCAAACAGTACACTGCAATATAATAGTAATATAAAATCGCTTTATTGTATACGCTACGAACAAGCAGCCAACGTACCTTTATGTCTATTAAAGATGTACCTATCACATATTAAAATTATATTTAATACATATATTTGATAGTAATATATTAAGTCAAATTCGAGGCGGCACGGACCGAATACACGATTTTGAAAATATTTATTACACGCCTCGCTTTGGAACTTGTTTTTGTAAATTAGATCATAAGAATTTATCGAAGTAATCTCGCGTTTAATATTATTCTTAAATAATTTAGCAAACACGTTATTTTATAACATTTGATATTTCAGTATCACTACTTGTTGTGAACTCACACGACGTTATGTATTTTCATACTTGAATCAAAATCGACATGGACATCAAACCGATAACGATAAATCGCATTTTCGACATCGAGCCATTCCATTTGCAGACGGTAGACATTGAAGCCGAATATTTGGATAATTTTGACGGAATTGAAATAGTTTCATCATCGAAACTGGATAAAACCAGTTCATTGTTCTTGAAAAAAAAATCAAAATTAAATACAATACAAAAATAACTTGTTGATTAATACCATTCAAAAATTATATATAGTGACGGATTTGTCACCAATTACTTTCAAATATTGTAAATTTGTCACAAAGTATTAATATGATATTATGTAGCTTAAATGATGAAAAACTTATACGTTAGCTTTCCGTTGCGACATACATAATTTTTTGTGTAATCACTACCTATCCCCAACTAACTTACTTCTAATTAACTTTATATTTACCTTATGCTCGTCATCAACGTTAAGAAATATCGTATTAAATAAACTGATAATTCTGAACGGTTAAACTCGTGCAATAAGTCTTTACCATTATGATCTTTCTAAATGAGTGCAGCTGCATTATTCGATTTAATCGTCTTCGAATTCATAATGGAGAAAAAAATAAGTGTTGTAAAGGAGCTTTAAATTAACTGGATTACAAATAATCTTTCAATTAATAAATCATAGTGTGAATACCAATATTTAACATTTGTTTATATTTTGTGTACACCGGACAACACGAAATTGTCAATTATATAGCGCCTGTCATTTTCATGTATTATATAAATATTTGGATTTAACAAATATTAAATTATGCTAACATTTTTGTTTGTGAGTAAAATATAACTGAAATTAAATTCATATAGTTCCTCATGATATTTTTTTTACTTAGTTTAAAAGCATCAAAAATACAGTTACGGTTTTTTTCATTAGCATCGAGTAACAACATAAAAATTCACAAATTATTTTGTAGTTAAATTTTAAATTTTTTAAAAAGTTTGAAAATATTATACTAGGTCTCTTCATAAGTTTTAATTTTAAGAATTTAAAAAGAGTTTGCTTAAAACCACATTTATTTTTATGATGCTCTGGATTATAATGTTAAAAAAATTTGTTAAAATTGCTAATTATTTTATAGAATACAGTTGGGATCCAATGAATAGTAAGTATTCATAATTCATATTAATCGACAACAATAAACATATTTATAAATTTATATACATATTATATACGTCTATAGAATATTTTTTTTCTAAAAACATTGCATTTTAAAATATTATTATGTGCATAAAACATAATTATATAATTAAAAGTGTTATGCCTTCATTAGTAATGTTTTAATAAATTTAATAGAAATTCATGAAAATCTTACAGGCGTAATTTATAGGCAACTCAAGATGTCTCGTAGTAGTGTGGGCATCGGTGAAGTTTCTCGTAGAAGACAACTGTCTCTTCATAAAAAAAAAAACCATCCAACGTTCACCGACTGTTTAGATTTTTGAGTCGTATAAGTATTTTGAAAATAACTTCACCTTGTCCACGAGTAAAATAACTATCCTATAAATAAGTACATCCTCCAAACACTAATTTTCATAAAACTACATCTTAATTTACATAATTACATTCCAAGTACTTATCTACATTTAGACCACTTTAGGTATGACTCAATAAACATTTATTACGGAAATAGATTTTTAAAATAAAAATATTAAAATGGTATAATAATTATATATAAAAAGTTATTTTGTTAAATACAATCATCGCTTTCACAGATAAAACTTAAAATAAACATTTAATTTTTTTTTTTCGTTATATACCTCTATATAATATATAAAGTACATAGGTTGACCATTTTTTAAAATGTTGACGTATATTCATAATACTACTTCCAAACTCTTACCATGCATCGTATCGGAGAATATCAGAAATCAGATTTTTATCATTATATTTATATATATAACTTTTTTTTTTAATTAGGGTAACTGAGTGCATATAATATATATAGCCCCATTAGTTCTTTTTATTTATTTGTTTCCTTCTTCACTGTTTCTCTCTCACAATTTATACAATTTAGTTTGTCTTCCAATCGAGATAATTTAGTTAAAATTAATTTTTCTAAAATAATATTGGTCACTGGATCGTAATAATGCATGATGTGGTGATTTTTATCACAAACCAACCCGCGTGTTTCAAGTAGGTTCAACAATTTGCCATACGTATTTATTTATTGTTCCGACATACCTTGAACACATAATACTTTTTTATTTTATGAATGAATTAATTTGATATTATAGTTATTATTGTTATCGTCACTACAATATGTTATATTTAAGAATTTTATTATTCATGTAACTCTTCAACCGTTATCTTCTTATTATATTTATATATGTGGTACCATTCTAAAAATAGATTATTATAGGTTTTTTTTTTTTATTTCATTGCGTGTTACAGTGAACAAGCTATAATTAATTACCATGAACTATTTGTTTTTATAATTAAAAAGAAATATTTTTAAAAAATTTTAATACAACAGTGTTTTAGAATACATTTTTAATACAACAAATACAAAAATACAAACAGATGCTGTTATTTAATTGTGTAATTAACTAATTTTTAATGAAATATGTAGAACATTTTGAATCAAGCGTCCATATAATGAACCCATTATAAACGATATAGTTTAATACTATTATAATGGTATGTATGATATAATTCCAAGACTGGCATCTATTTCCCATTGAACCCGTGATAAGCTGATTTGTTTTGTTTCCACTACAAACCACCAAGCAAATAATGCACCAAACAGACATAAAACAAAGTAAACTAAGAAGAAATAGTCGATTTCCAAAAACTTGGTAAGTTCATATGGAAAGTAAATACCAGCTAAAACCATTAGCCAATGTATAGCTGTTGTTAAACTTATTCCGTACGGTTTTACCTAAAAAAATATCAAAATATATATATATTTATTATAGAATATAATTGATTTGTATATAAGTTCTTTATTTCTAATAAGTAATAAGATTGATATATCTAATAAGTTATTAGATATATCAATTTATAATATTTGAACATTATAACAACTATGGACGTCTTAGCGTTTCATTATATAAATAATATATAATTTATAATGAGTCTTTGAGGTCATTTTTATACGTACTTTCGTCGAAAATATTTCTCCCATTATGACCCAAGGCACAGGTCCAAATCCTAAAGAATAAGCTAATATGAAAAACGTTATAAGAATCATCGTTAAATTACTGAATGTAGTAACACTTAGTTGCATCTGAATAGTGATGCAAAATTCCAAACCAGCCAAACATAGACACATAATCACTGCCGAAGATATTAATAATATACGACGACCTTTGTAATCTATGATAATTATTGCGATACTCATCGTAATGACCTAAAACACATTATTCAATTTAATATTTAATCAAAGGTAAATTATAAGTTTCAAGCATGAGCTAAAATGTATAAGTAGCAAATTCTGATCGTAAAATACAAATTTTTTACTAACCTGAATGATTTCTAGTGTGATGAATACCGTTTTAGGGTCGACGTGAATGCCGGCCATTTTCATTATACAAATCATGTACGGTAACATTACATTTATTCCACACATTTGTTGGAAAAACATGCATCCGACACTGATCAGCAGTGCTCTGCGATCCACACTACAGCTAAATGCGTCAAATATGTGCCATGATAAGTTCCGTCGAAATCTTCCGCAATAATCGATATAACTCTATTTAAAAAAAAAAAAAAAAAAAACATACGTGGTAGTATTTTGTATTATAAATCACTCTCACGTAAAACCGCATTTAAAATTATCTCTTTCTTTTTTCTCATTTATATTATTATTATACGTGCAAATATAATATACCAATGAGAACGATATTTCCATCCAAATGAATCGACTATATGATTTTATCGAACTTACGAAGTCATCGTTTCTATAGTAATGTTGAAAAAAGTTGCTAGGTGACGAGTACGGCGATTTAGGAATAAAACACAATCCAATAACGTGCAATATAACGATCGAGTAGCAAAACACGTTGAACGATATTTTGAAAGGTTGCTGGTGATCATATTGTTGGAATGGGCCAAATACGTCGGATATCACGACGCCCGCAGCCATGATCACTGGGAACATTAAACCCAATCGGCCTACGAAAAAAAAATTATTGTTTATAATTATAGGTAATATATAAATCAAACGACAATCGATCGATGTTCTCCACAAACGAAGAGTAAAAATAGACCACGACTTTACCGTCATAAAAGGTAGGTAGTAGGTACTTATAAGATGTTTATTTTTTATCAGTGGTATATTGAAAGTATCGAGTTGCCGAGTTCACAGCTGAATCGTATGTAGTGTCGTGTCGTGTCGTATACTTTGTATTTTAATCTGATTAATTTATCATGTTATCATTCATTAATAATAATCTACTTGGCCGAGCTCAACTTTTGGACACGATACGAAAACAGCTGACGAAATAGCTATAAACACGGTTTAGCTTATTTACCCCGATTTCATTACCACTAACACAATACCAGTAGTATTGTGTTTTGGTCTGTTCCGCATCAACTTAAATCCGACAAATCCAGTCCCTTCATTCCTGTACCCCCTACATTCTCTTATCCTCACCCCGAACACCCCTCTATCCATAATCCAAAATATTTTTTATGTATTGAAATTTTATTATATTTAAATTTATTAAATTACACTATATAGTTCATATAAAGGTAAAAAATTATTTGATTTTGGTGACAAATAAAAATAAAAATTTTAAACACAACGATAGAAAAAACTGTTATACAATTGCTCAAATTTTATTAAAATCTTTAAGAATTTTTTTCATCAAGCTACCCATCATATTATGTGATAATATAATATGTCTAATATGTCTATATGTTACCATACGTATATTATATATTAATATTAAAAGTAATAGGTATGTATACTATTTATTTTATTTTTTTAGTAACATTTTTTTTTTTTTTTTAAGTATTAAGGAAAAACGAATATGCTTATTTATAGAAGATACCTCGGTATTTCGGGTGCGAAATCTCGCCTACGTATGTGGGTATGACTGCAGACATGGCGCCTGAACCGATACCGAGTACTAATGATACACCAGTGACCATGAAGTCCGTCAATACGATTGGAAAAGTAACAGCAAACAAACCAATAATCAAAATCGCGTCGAAAAACGCCATGCCAAGTCGGTTGCCAAAATATCTCCAAGCCTGCCCTGTGTACAGAGCACCAATAATCGCACCAGTTACGAATAAGACTGGCGATATCGACCAAGAAAGGTGGTTACCCCCAACAATCGGTGATGAGGAAATCTGCGAAAACAGAGATGACCATTTCACTTCTCGCACTATCACCCCGATGGTCATCGCCACTGATGATGCTGAAAAGTGAAAACGTATACTATTGTTATTACGATACACGGAAATACTTGATATAAAAATCATAAAAAACATTTATAAATGTTTTGTAAATGAATTAAATAGTTTTTAATGTACCAATTAAGGCAGGCATTACTCCTTTTGATGAATTCATAGTAGAGATGTTTTATGGGTATAACCGTTGAATAAACAATATAAAAATAATAAATAGAACCTTTAAAAAAAAATCTGAATTAAGGTAGAACAAAATCAAGTCTGTTTATTTTTATAACAATAGTTTTAGTAAATAGTTATCCGTGGTTACTTATAGTTTACTACAATCTAATAAAAAGTCGTTTACAATGATGTTATAAAAATAATTGTCGATTTTTTTTTTTTTTTTATTTGATTATTATTAAGACGTAATAATTATTTAGTATCGTATAATATAATATCGTTATAGTCGACGTGTATTATAGAAGAAGCGATTTTCAAGGAAAAAAAAAGTAATATTTATCGACACTCAAAAGTAATTGAATAATAATAACAATGACTTGTTTACAAAGGAAACCGTTCGTTGATTCAGCCGGCTGTAAGCTATTGATAATTTATTATGCAGTATATTATGCATACTCTAATAAGTGGTCCATTCAATAACAACATAAAAATGTTATATGTCGCGTCGACTACACGTATGCGACTATACGAGTCTTCAGCTACATACGAATTGGGTCTCCGATATAAAAATTGCGATTTGCGACGTACTTATTGTGTCCCGATTATCTGATATACCTTTGATAATCTCAATCCGCAATAATCGATATGACTATATTATGAGTAATTAATAGTAATTAACATCATTATTCATCATTAAAAAATGCAATTTCATTAGAATTCAATTTTCAAATATCTGTAAAAAAATAATTGTAATCGTATATTTTTTAGATTATTTACTATCTATTTACTTGATGTGAATACAGTTGAATTTCCTTTATATTCAAAATTCAGAATTTAAAATATTTTATTTTGATAGCAAAACGTACAGAGCATAGTGTTGCACAAGAACACTTCTCAAAATCCAACAATAGGAGTAGTATTATACCGAATTAATTGATCAAACGCCAAATAATTTGTTAAATATAGAGCACATAACACGGGACAGTTATGTCCAATCGTTTTGATTCGTAAGTAGTTCACGGTCAGTGTTAATTTTTCAAATGCCGTATAAGACGTTTGTGAAAATCCCATAGGCGTGATCTATAGGCAACTTAAGATGTCTCGTAGTAGTGTGGGCATCGGTGAATTTCCTCGTATTAGGCAACTAGTCTTTTCGTGCATACAAAATTGAAAATACCGTCCAACGTTCACCGACTGTTTAGAGTTTTAAGTCGTAAAAATATGTTTAAAATAACTTCGCCTTATCCATATGCAAAATAAATACCTATAAATAAGTAAAAATTCGTTATTTTATGCTTAATAAAATATATAGGTGCATTACAATGTAATATTCTTTATCTTATATTATCTACGCCACAGTTGTGTACAATTGAACCTCTCTATCTCAAACTTCGGTATCTCGAAGTTTCTGTTTGTCGAATTTTTTTTCAGTGTCAGACATACATGTTAAGTTATTTCGGTGTATCGAATTTTTCTATAAGTCGAAGTTATTATATCCCGATACCCACCGCCTATTATGATTCATTAACTCGAATGTATGACAAATAATAAGATTAAGTATAAAATACCCAGACTAAAAAAAATATAAGATAATTTATAAGATATCATAGAAAATAAAGTATACTTACCCGAATTACAAATACTAATAATATATTATTATATAACAGTATAACAGTTTATAAATACACATTTTTCCGAATAATTAAAAAATTTTATTTATGTTTTAAACTCTCTTAGTAACTCGAAGTTTTAATACGTCGAATTTTTTTTTTTTGTCCCTTGAAATTTCATTGTATATATAATATATATTATATATGATGATCTACTAACAAAACGTATACTTGTCTTCATAGAAAATATTACAATATAATTTTTTGTCTTTTATTTTTTTTTTTTAATTTGTTAAAACTCATTAAAACGTTTATTTATAAAATGTTTTGAACAAGTGGTTTTGTTTAAAACACACTTCAATCCAGATTGACGCGTATCGAATTTTTCTTCTTGAAATCTGTTGAATAATTGCTATTATGATATTAGGTATACCATTACTTTTCGTATAGTGTCAGACGCACGTCAGCTATATAATAATACGCACTTGCGTGCGGTGTACAATAACGATACCGTACCAAAAAATATGATGATATCGTTACGCGTGCATAGTACAATAATCAATAACGAGATCGTACATCGTATATTGTGTCTACTGTCTATTATTATTATATTACGGTGTAGCCGCAGTCGCGTACGTTTCACACGTGAATTACACGCGTATTTACCGGACGTCGTGGATAAAAATCATGAAAAAAAAAAAATAATAATAATACGATAACATAATATTATTATAATGTGATTACGCGACGACGATGACGACGACGGCGATCGGTAAAAAAAATCGATTACGATTCCGAGCGACCGGACCGCGTCCGGCTGACCAGTGTGGCGGTAAACGAGCCGGGAAACCGCCACACGTTTCGACTACGATCGTTTCAAACGGACTCGTTCGTAGAAAATAATAATATACATCACAATATATTACTACAGTATAAATAAAAATATGTTGTAATGACATATTACGCTGTGCACACACGCAGGCCGGCGAACGGAGAACACTGGCTTGCGGTGTACGATAACGTCACGTCTGTGAATGAAAACGTGCCGTTCATTGATCAGAACTGGGCTCTAGGTACACCGCATCGGTCTTCGATCGTATTATTCGAATACAGGGTGATTCATCGAGCACGACCGCCATCGACCTCCACCCAACCCCCTCAACAGTTTATCCTTTGAGACGGTGTCATTTATCCGGATTCATTTTGATGAAATATCTTCAAGAGCTGGTATTGAGGACCATGTCATCACTGTCTTCGAAACGGTTGTATTTACGACATCGCTATTTCGGTAGTTTCCGGTGGCAGCGATACTTAACTCCTCAAATCACAGTTTTTCACTTGCAAGTTGCTTAACAGAACATATATTTTATTTTTTTAAATTTCATTTAATACGCCGAAATCCACGCGAGTTGTTTTATAATTATTATTTAATTTCGTACGTGCCTATACTGAGAATAACTAGTTCCACACTACATAATTATATAATATGATAAATTACGGTGATAGATTTGAAAAATGTGTAGGCATAGCACCTAAATGATATTAGTTCTGTATTAATATCAATCAATCTATTAACGTTTTATAATATTCGTTTAAATAAATGTGTAACTTGTACTAGACTAGATCATAATATTTCAATGTAGATATATTATATATTTTATACGAAACCTTTATTAAAAGTAACATTTTCCTTAGTAGAATTACCATTATAAAGCGTTCAATAAGTTCAATAACTCACTGAAAAACTATAAATTATACAATACTCTTACGAATTTCGATCAGAATACATCTAAACGTTCACGACGATAATATAACATGCTTAACGATTTACAACGGAAAAGGTATAATTCTCATTTGAATCAATAGTTACTCGAAAATAACAGTTCTTGAGTATAAGACGTATAACAGTATTAAACTCAAAAAAATGTTAAAAGTCAGAAATCGAATAAACGTTTTTGTCTAACGAACGACATGAAAACGAACACGACCGCTACGAAACACCCTGTACAATATACTAAGTGTGTATTACGTTGCAGTGGTAGATGTATTAGTTATGTTTATGTGTGTACCTACGTATTGCAGTACAACGTATACTTGCGCAGTAGTTAAGTCAAACGACGCGACTACACAATATTATACCTCCACAGCGCACTATTGAATAAATTACAGTGACAGAGAACCGTATACACGGAAAATCGACGTGCAGTGGTTACAACTGAGAGAAATATCGAAAAAAAAACCCCGAATCATTCGATACGAGACCGCATTTTACAAACCGCGATTTATCGATTCCACATACACACACACGCAGGATTAACGTAATATTATCGAGTATTGAATTATAAGGCATTGCACACGACGTACGCGCGACCGGGCACGTTCTCACCATAAACCGCTATCGTCGGGGCCAACAGGTGCCCAACGACGCGACGGAAACGAAACGAGCTCTGTAGGTACACACGCTCGTCATTACCGCCAGTAACCA